GAGAAAATATAAAATAGTGACCGATCTGCTTTTAGAGGCAATGGTGGACATTGACCTACCCGCAATTGGTCCCAAACGTGTATGGTTCATGATTTGCAACTGTCTGTCGTGAACAGAAAGGCGACCTCCATCGGGCCTCGTTGCCAAATGCTTTCGGGAAAACTTCGCCAAAAAAATAAAATGCAAACTGTTTCGTATTTTTGGTACCTGATTATTAATTCAATGTTCTCGGAATGAAATTGATTTGTTATGGGGCTTTATTTTTAAAAATTAAAAAAATTAAACGAAACCTAACGTCTCAAAATTGCGGTTTAGTATTTTCGGATCATCCATATTTATTTAATTAAAAAAAAATCAGCCTTCACCTTTGGCTATGTAAATTTAATTAATATAAATAAATAAGATAATTTAACAATTCAAATGTTGTGCCTAAACTGTTTTTAGTCCGATATATACCTAATGTTACAGTATCTATAAATCTATTGTAACTGAAGAAATTATATTGTTAACCAGAATTTTTGTTGTAAGTAAGTTAAATTTAAAACAGGAAAAAGAAAAAATTTTTAAACTAGTTTGTTGAAATTTTCTGTAATTATTATTAACTTAATTTTTAGTAATATCTTTACACAGAGTTTATTGTACGAAACCATTTTGTATATCACGTAACCCAGTAGTGATAACGCTTATCTTTGCACTTTTGATTGTCAAATTAAACATTATTGTAGCTTTCGATTGTGATTTAATTATTGCGCTCATTATAAAACTCGTGTGTTAGGTCATGAATTTGAACGAAATTAAATGGTATCACTGAGCGGTAGTTATAACGTGATTATTTAATTTTGGAACAGGTCATGTACTAACAATGATAACAAAGTCAACATTTACTTTGTGTATTTTTCATGTAAGATAGAGAATAAAATCCGAAGGAATGGTTTATTGATTTGCAAAACTCATTTTTACGACGTTATTGCGGATAAACTTACGAAAAAGTAAATGAAGCTGAAATAATTGTTATTATCTTCAAGATACATGCCCACAAACAGCGCAAATTTAACAATTTTTTACATAATTTGTCATTACTTTTTGACTGTCCCTTGTATTTTAATCGTCTAAGGGTACGCGCGAACTCGCCCCGCCGCTTAACTTTTTTAAAAGTCTACACGTAAGTTAATCATTTAATTTTCATTATTTGTAGTGTGTATTAACATTAATAAATTGTTATCGATTACGCTTCAAATAGAAACAACTGTCCATTCATTTTGTAACATACTGATCGTTTCCGTCTATACCGGATGTTGGTAATTTATGTATTGTTTATTGAAGTGCTTTTTTTTTAATGGATAGGTGTATGAATGGGGATGAAAATAATTCATTTAGGTATCATTTGAATAAAATGTGGCATGTTTGAGGATATCTTTTTAGAATACCATTTCTTTTAGTTTATCTTTATATAAATCTCCAGAATTCGTTGTTTTAATTTCTTTTAAATGTTTTTGACTTTTTTTCGAGACTTGGCAACGTGGCATGCTATCCTTTTTTGGAACTCGCAGTCTGGTTGCCCCGTTCGCTCGACGCGTCGACAACCGGCTAATTCAAGAGGGTCATAATTTTAAGCGTTCGTCTTTCGAATCCGTGACATCACAATCAGCTGGCTTACAATCTTATTACATAGTCCACGAACTTGATTGTGATGATCACCATCGCTACTACTTCCATTGTTTATTTGTTGTTACTGATCTTGCTGTTAATAACAACGTCGTCTGTCTTTTTTTTATAATAACAATCCCTTAATGTATACAGGGTGGATCGTCTTGACTATGTATATATATATGTACGCATGTATACGGATTTTATCAAAACTTTCTGTAAGATAATTATCTTTTTTTTTTTTCTGAATGTAAACTGGTAAAACCTGTTCCCTTTCAATTTTTTATTTTGAGTGAATACCGTTATTCCAGAAACACCTCGTATATGGTACAGCCTTGAAGGGAAAAACTGTACAACCAATTCGTGTATCTTCTTTTTGTTTCGCGGTGACCGCAAATGGTCAAAGGTACACGGACTGGCAGAAAACTTGTTCAGATCTGTCGCAACCCGTTTTTTACTTTGATCTAAAGATCATCAAATAAAGTTTTGTAACCGTTGTTGCTTCTTTCTGTAATTTTTCACCATAATCCTTCCTTTTTTTTTAAGCATACGTACTTTTAAAAGTATTATGGAGTAAACGAAACATTTATTTAACTTCATTTTTAATTTTGTTTAAGTTGGGAATCTTCTGTGCGCTAAATTTTTATTGTTTTATTGTACCTACAGTAATAACAGAATGAAAATGGTTCTGTCATTTTAAATTTCGAAGAAAATTGTTTCTTAAGTTTATTCGTTTTATTTTTTTATTATAACTTCAATTAAGTTTGTTCTAATTAATTATATTCATGAAACGTTTATTTTATTGGAAGTAGTTTTTTATTGTATTTTTCTATTTTTTGTGTTTTGATAAAACGATTAATTTGCCGAACACTTTCGTCACGCAATTAGTCGTGCATGTTTGCGTAATTTACGAGCAAAACGGTTGTTAATAAATTATGCAAAAATTCATTCATATTAACAAGAGTGAACATGTTGCAGAACACCAAGTAAAATTTTCTACTAATAATATGTATAAATAATCAGCCCTTTCCAACGATGTGTTACACGATCCCAGAAATTTCGGCCTCTATTGCCCGCCTTCGTCAATATATTTTGTGTCAAATATTTTTGAGATTTTAGATTCCAGATTTCAAACAAAATTGTGAAAATTAAATCAAAACAATTGTAATGTTTTTGTTATATTTATTGTTTTTCTTTATTGTTGCAGTTTTCGACTTGTTTAACGTGGTTCCGTTGGATGGGGTAAGTCCCGTTTTGCTAGTAGGAACCCGTAGATCCGAACTTGTGTTTCTATGGCCTCACAAGTTCGTATTTAACGGGACCTACTACCAAAAATAATCAACAAAACGCAGAGGGAAAATGTGTGTTCTATTCGCTGCAATTTTTCCCAATCGTCTTTTGACCTACGTACATGCGGAGTGCTTTTTTAAAAAATAAAAGAAGAAAGAAAAGGGGAGCGAAAAATAAAAAAGAGGGTGGTTTCTGGGTGAGGTAGTAGGTTGTATAGTAAGTATTACACCTTTTTGGAGTACTGTACAGCCTGCTAACTTTCCCTGAATCGTACCATTTTCGCCAAAAATTAGCAGCAATTTTGACCTTTATTTGACATTTATAAACCGTAATACCTAATAAAAGATTACTTTATAGCTTTGAAGTACTTTCGTTGCATTTTATATTGCACGCAGTACAAAAAAACAGTGGCGTGGAAATAAATTTTAATTTCTCCTTTACCTTTTCCCAAAATCATTTCCACGCCACTGGTAAAATATATTATAGATCGTTACGATGCCACTGTTCAGTGTTGATTTTTTTTGACATTGTAAACGTGATTATGTGTTTGTATTTATTGCAACAGGTCAATGTATGCAAAGGCTAATTTTGCCTGTTCCCTGAGACCCTAACTTGTGATGTTAATTGAACTCTCACAAGCTAGCGACTCGGGTATTGGCGGATGGCAACACTGCAGAGCGTCTAGTAACTTTTGAATTAAGGGATTGACAACATTTATTCACTATTGGTGTAATTTAACATGGCTGCTTAATGTTTATTTAATTGTCAAGTTTGTGATAATTTTATTTATAATTTTGAAAGAAAGACCACAAAGTTGTTTATTTCATAATTAATAGTAGCGTGTGTACAGGTAGAAGCTAAACCTACCTCATTTGTAACGTGTTTCTTAATGATTTTGTGGTATTAGTGTTGATTGTTAGTTTTAAGGTTATAACTGTACTGTAACTAATTAACTGGGAACTATTTAAATTAAATTAACGTTATAATGAACGAAATTGAACTTAAAATGTTATTGCAATATCCTTTTATTGTTCCCATAAAGGATAATAAGTTCCAATATGCAGGCTATATGTTAGTAAATGTCAGTGCTGTGTAATGTTTTTATGTATTATTTTTTAAATGTTGTGTTTATTTAAAGGGTGTGGATTATGATATTGATTTAAGTACACCTTCCGACGATTTTGAAGGCTATGAAGTTAAAATGACGCATCAGTTGCAACCGTTTCAAAAAGAAATTAAGAATTTGATAAGATATGCAGATGGATATAATGTTTTAGAATTATTGGACAAATTGAAAGATATTCTATCAGCCAAAACTATACCCAAAGAAATTATTAATCACACTGCTGTTTATAGACATGTGATTAATGAATATGTTGAACTTCGAGAGTTTTATTTTAACATTCATAAATGTGTTCTGGCTAGTAATATGTCAGACATTAGTATTGTTCACATTGATACTTCAGGAAGAACCCATCAAATTAAAATTAGTATTGATTATGACGAGCAAAAAAATATATTCAAAGTAGTGGACAGTAGTCTTCCAAATCCTACTAATAGGGAATTATTTAAATCGTCAAATTCTTTGAAAGCATTATATGAAGTTTTTGTTAATACCATAGAAAGATTGCAATTATTTTTTGATATAATGGATAGCATAAGTGAAATTTGTTGGATTTTAGATCCATTACAACCAACAAGAAAAGATTATCATAGAAGAATAGCTTTAGGTAAGTCATTAACCAATAAAATATTTTATAAATTAATGTGTGTATTTTTTAATAGGTAATACTTCCTCTGTTATCCTTACTGTTGACCCATGGTTTCCCACAAATCCTCCTGATTTAAAGTTTCTTGGCCCTGAAAGAATTATAAATGATTTAAGAGAAAAANTTGACGAATCAGTCTATAGAGATGGCATTAATAGACTGGAACACCGCTATGAGAAATGTATCAGCCTTGGAGGAGATTATGTTGAGAAATAAAAAAAAAAAATTTTTAAAAACCTTGTTTTTCTTGGTCAGGCCGGAAACTTATCAATCCACCCTCGTATATCTATTAATGCCAGATATTTTAATTTGATAGGTAGAAGCTGAGGTATAATTTATATGTATAATAATTCAAGAATTCAAGTACATAAACATGGGATTAGTTAGAGCTAGGCAAAACTTCAGTGTTTTGTGCTTAGAAATGTGCTTCCCGAGTCCTTTCAAGGCTTAGAAGAACTGCAATCCAAACCCCCGAATTGGTAATTGCAAGTCCTTGAACTTTATAATGTAATTGGGCTTGATGAGCTAAAGCACTTTAAGTAAATGCTTTGGACTTATTGCATAGAGCTGTTTAGATTAGAACTTTGTTCAGTCCTGTCTATATCGAAAGTGCTTTAGTCCATGTAGCCGTAGCCCCAGTTACATTTTAAAATCCAAGATCTTGGATTCTAAAATGTAATTGGCACTTTAAGGACTAAAGCACTCAAAGTAAAAGCTTAAGGCTTGTTACATAGTGTTATTTAGATGAGAGCTTTGCCCACGAAAGGATATGCCAGATTTGCACAGTCAATTCGGTTAATACCAGAGCTAGATAAAGCTTCAGGGCTTTGTACCTACTTGAAAATATGCTTTCAAGTTTTCCAGTGTACTGCAAGACCTCTTTCGTTAGCCAGTAGTTGAGGCCAAAACTGCACAAAGCGCTCACCAAAACAGCTTTAAGTCCTAACGCCAAAGACCTAACTGAAAGTGCTTTAGTCCTGGAAGCCCCAATTACATTTTAAAATCCAAGACCTTCGATTCATGCACTTTGAAAGATCTCGAAGCCATTTGAATTTTAATTGCAAAGTACTTTTATATATTATATTGGTAAAGTAATTCTTTTAACAAGGCTTAACCCCTTGTTGACAAAAGGTTTTGAATGCAGTGCTTCTAAGCTGTGAAAAAACTGGAAGCACATTTTCAAGCACAAAGCGCTACCCAGCTTTGGATGGTGTTTCATAAACGAATTATTTTACAAAAATATTTTGTGAATTGTATAACTGAGGGTTTCGAACTCTTTAAAAGTGCTTCAGAACCTTTCAAAGTGCTTTAGGGCTTTAAACCTAATTACTCTTCGAAGTCTAAGCCCTTGGATTCTAGAATGTAATTGGAGCCTTAAAGACAAAAGCACTTTAATAAGTAAGGATTTGGGGCTCAGGTCTTGGAGCTGTTTTAATGAGGACTTTGTCCATGTTTAGCTAATAACACTAAGCCTACCATGGTAATTTGTTCTAGTGTTAAACTTTATTACTATAATACAGAAAAAAAACCCTCTATAACAAAAAAAATGTTCGATGTCTCAAAAAAAGGTTCCATTCGTCATGGGGTTTTCAATATAAGGTATTTCGATCTCTTTGCTGCATATGCCATTTTTAGCCCCAGTTTAGTTTTTTATTTGGAAAATCCATTTTTCATCGCACGTTCGCCCATCATCGCGCATGCTGATGGGGCAGTCGTCGCCCCTGGCCCACTTCGCGCGTTTGCGACAAAGACACGCGGTCGTGGAGTCGTCGTCGTCGACCGCCACCGCCGCGGCCGGCGTCGGCGCCGCCGCCGTCCGTTGTATCGGCGGGTTGTTCAACTTTCGGCCTGCTGAGATTCCAAGGGCGTTCGCGGGCCCAGACGCAACGTTGCCAAACGAAAGTTTACGTTTACGGCAGGCAATTCTTCTCATATATTGTCGTTGCTTGTATGTGTAAATGTACTCAAACAGCCCACTTGATCAGAGAAAACACAAGACTGATAGGCCTCCACCCGGCGGCCGCGTACTTACATATACATGGTACCTGCCGAGACGGTCGGGGGTGCGATTCGACTGCGCCCCGGGCACATAAATTCTGCTGGAGAATTAACTGTCGAACTCTTTTTTTGTGTGTTATCAATTTGTCTGACCTAAAGTCTAGAACCCCTAGATCATAGGCGATTGTTTTCGATTCAAAATTGGCCTTTTGGATATTAGTCCACGTCCGCGAGGAAATACCTCTTCTTCCCAGTAATCCTTAATCGTCATTTAATCGTTTCTTTTAAATTTTCAGAACAAACAAAATAGCTCAAACCTTAACGCCAAAACACGACACTGTAGTTGTCCGAAGCACTTTTAGGTAACAAGGACTGAAGTGAACTGTCAATCCCTGAAGAAGGTAACCTTGTTACCGAAAAGTGCTTCGGACAACTAAAGTGTCGTGTTTTGGCTTTGGGCTTTGAGCTATTTTGTTTGTGCTAAAACAACCGCCAAAGTTTTTCCAATCTTCATTTTTCTAAAATTTCGTCGATTTCTTTTACATTTTTCATCACTATTCAACCCTCATTAGGCGTAAAATGACAAAGTATAAACTATTATATGGAGAAAGCATTTTTAAAGTCTCAAACTCCTACATAGCGAATGAACCGGGGGAATTCGGGGTGTAATTAGAGACATATTAGAAGCAGAAACTGGAGTTAAGAGCATAGCAGCAGACCTATGTAGAATAGATTACTGTTCGTAAATAGTTAAGGATGTCATGGGATGTTCTAGCTTTAGGGAAATTGGAAGATTAGCTCAGAATAGGAAAGAGTGGAGGTGCGTGTCCAACCAGTCTTAGGACTGACCTTATGATGATGATGAAAAACTAGAAGAAGTCTCTGATTTTCGATAGATATTGCGAGGGTCGGATAACTCAGGATAAAACAAGCACTAGCAATATAAAATAAGGAATAGAGCAGAAGAAACCGCTTTTGACTCGTGGTTGGTTAGTTTAGAAATTCAAAAAAGATTATTAAGAGTGGATATTTGGATATCATAGCATAATAAATGTTGGAAGTATTGAAGAGCAAAAACTCTAGGGTTATATAGGTACATATTAAGAATACATATAACGTTTATTGTGGCGATGGTGCAGTTCACAACTCCCTTTTGATTTCCGCAAGCAAGTTCATCTTTCCTTCTGTACTAACCAAGATCCAGCAGTTGCAGCAGACCTACATCCACCCTCGTCTTGCTTACTTCTTTTACCATTTTTTTTCTCCGTTTTTTTTTTTTGTCCCCATCTCCAGATCTCCAGTTATTTTGTTCTTTAACGTACGAGAATGCCATCGTCAGAGAAGACCTGCGGAACAGCTGGACGAAGACAGATATTTTTTTTACTTTTGTGAACACTCTGAACTCGTGTTGAAAAAATGTCGCACCCTAGCTGAGGGGGATAGAAAACCATAGCCAAAATATTCAGCCACGTATTGATAAAATTATCTTTTATCGTAAATTAATGTACATGTGCATATAGGCCTTCTCTATTCCGGTGTCGTTTGTTTATTTGGGTTTTTTTTCATTTCCTGTTTTTGTTTTTATTGGGAATTGAACAGGTGTACGGCGAGAAAGAATTTCCCATCCGAAATGCAATCACCAGGTGGTGGCGGTGGCGGGTGGGGATAGTGTGCGAAATACGGGGTCGTAAGTCTGACCTGACCCCCGTCAGTCGAGGGCAGGTAGAAGGAAGTAATATAGGTACGCAATGTATATTATGCACAGCATGTCCCAAAGCACTTAATTTGAAATAAAATCTGTGAGCATGGTTGAACGCGAGCTTCGATCATAGAGGGCAATCTGTAATAAATTATGATAAAATATATTTACAGAAATCAGAGCCTCTTGAGGGTTGGAATGATAAATTAATTAAGAGAAGATAATGGAAAATATTATTACTAAATGTAATATTCTTACGTACGTATGCAACTTCAATGCACAAGGTGTATACTGGGTTGCATACATCCAGTTAGATTATGTACTAACATCTCTTTTTATGAAAAATAGTAATTATATTTATATTTACAATAAATATTAATTAAAATGTGGATGGAAGAGGAAGGGGGCGATGCACATCAAATTAATAAAATAAATGGAAAATATATTTAATCAAACGATTTTCGAAATTGTTTTGTAAATTATCCTTACAAACAAATCAGATAATTCATTTTGAAATACACGTTTATTTAATGATATGATATGAATACACTAATGGCAAATTGAGAACCGAACACATTACATGCAATCATCGAAGTGCAATATCATCTTTCGAAAAATACGACGTGATATAGGTAGGAATATTCGTACAAGTCCAACGCATCTTTGGTGAACATTTTGCCTTACCTGTATGCGTATATTTTCTGTTGCGATGTGGGACACATTGTATATACTATATTTCTATACACAGATAAATATTATATATGAGCGGGTATTTTCTATGTACCCGAAAACAAGAAAAAAAAAACGCTTTCACTGTTGTGGAAAAATATTGCCTGGTCTGTCGGAAAGGGAATTCAAAAAGATTGAACACTTCCGGTTGTCGGAAGTGGTATGGCACACCATGCAAAAAAAGGACGAGCGCGTAAATAAGTATAGGAGAAAGAGTGATCGAAAACAGAAAAAAATAAGATAAAGTATATTAGATAAATATTTGAATATTATTAGAAGTTAAATCATCTCAATGCGAACGAATTTTAAAAATATTTTGTTTCGTTGAAGTTGGGTTCAAATTAAAGTAAGAATTATGATATTATTAATGCTGATAGAAAGTCAAGTATTTTTCTAGAATGGTGTCTATTGAACAGATGTAACAATTTACGTGATAAAGCTCATAACATTGAGCGAAACGTCAGAATATTCATCTTATCTATTTCAATATTGTTCATACATATTATGTATATTATTCTCGAGTCTTATTAGTTAAAGAAGTATGTGAAACAGGGTACATTAATATCTAATACTTACGACGTGGTACGACGGTTAAAAAATTAATAAACAATATGAGTGACGGAAGACATTGTGAAAAAATTAATATTATTGATTGGATGAATGTTGGCGCCATAGTTCTTGTACCGTATCCTTCAGCAAGGTCGCCATAGAAACTAATTTTGCATACGAACAAATACGTTAAACAGTTTTTTAGATTCAATACATACAACAAAAAGGTTATTGAATAAATTGTTCTAATTTCTAGAAATTAGATTAGCTATTAATCTGGGTTCTGTTATTTTTAAATTATAATATTTTATTCATATTATATTACTTGTTCATGATATATTGTTTTTAGGTTATGTTTACGTTGACACTTATGTTATCGTTAACAGATGATAGCCTGTAAAACAAATTATCTGGATAGTTTTGTTAATGAATTGTTAACCATTCCTTCCCTCCGTATGTTTGTTAAAGAAGACATACACAAATATCCAGCTTTTCTAATTTTAAAGCACTACCGTTGACCAGAAGACTTAAAAAATGGAAGAAACATTAATGTTAGTGTCCCTTGTGGTTGTTATGCTAATAGGATCTTATCTGGCTGGTTCTATACCTCTTTTTATGAGTCTTTCAGAGGTTAGTAGTAAGTTTATTAATGTAAATATTTACGTTATTTCTTAACAGTAATTCCAATTGGTGTAACAGATGTTTGAAAAAGTGAAAGGTGCATTCCATGGTTCCATAGTATAAAGGGCGTTTGTTTTATTTTAGGAGACATTGAAAAAGGTTACTGTATTTGGGTCAGGACTTTTAGTCGGAACAGCTTTGGCTGTAATTATTCCAGAAGGAGTTCGTTCTTTAACTACAAGTATACATGTGAAAGAAGGAGCGAATGAAACCCATACTGCCCAGAAAGTTAATGATCCTTTGTCTGTGATAGGAATTAGTCTTATTTTAGGCTTTGTTTTAATGTTGCTGATTGATCAGGTAAGATTTCATTTTATGGGTGACTTTTTGCTGTTATCTTATCAGAATTTTTATTGGCTACATATGTAGAAACAAAGTTAATCCTTTTATTTACTGAATTNGCGGTCGGCAAAAATAAAGGTTTATCGAAAGGTGGAAAAAAGGGTGTCAAAAAGAAGATGTAAGTCTAGTATTTTACCATTTTCTTATATAATTAGTCCTTAAAAATTAAGTGTGCATTAGGAATTGATAATATACTTTGTGATGTTCGGGATATATGTTGGTTCATCAGTCCACATTGGTTTGCTTTCAATTGATTTATTAAGTATGGAGATTTATTTCTTTATAAAAATGTTAATTAATCGTAGTACTTTGTTATTACCTTTATTGTTTTGTAATTCTTTGATAAGGATTCGAATTCAAACCCTTTTTTGAAAATCTGGATTGAGGTTACATGCCTTTAAATGTTTATATTAATTGTGCTTTCTTTTATCAGTGTCGACCCCTTTACAAGGAAAGACTGGTACGATGTGAAAGCCCCATCAATGTTTATCACGAGGCAAGTGGGAAAAACTTTGGTAAATAGGACTCAAGGAACCAAGATTGCATCAGAGGGTTTAAAATTTAGAGTGTTTGAAGTATCTTTAGCAGATTTACAAAATGACAACGATGCTGATCGTTCGTTCCGAAAATTTAAACTCATCTGTGAAGATGTTCAAGGTAAATGCATTGTATAAAATATTTTTTCTTTTTAAATGTATTACAAATGATGAGACACTCAGCTCGCTTTGATAGAATTATGAAGATAACTCATTGTTCCCTATAATTAAGTATCTGAAGCTAAGTCTGTAAAGTTTTGGTCGTTATGGATCTAAGTATAGTTCCTAAAGGTTTTTGTTAATTCTTTTAGGAAGAAATTGTCTTACAAATTTCCATGGTATGGATATAACAACTGATCGACTTAGGTCAATGGTAAGGAAGTGGCAGACACTAATTGAAGCTTCTGCTGATGTTAAGACCACTGATGGGTATTTGCTTAGGGTGTTTTGCATTGGATTCACCCATAAAGATCCGGCATCTCAGAGAAGGACTTGTTATGCCCAGCACACCCAGGTATAGATTTGAAAACTTATTACAAAATGTCTTAAAGTATTTAAGATTTAATGATGATACACTCAGCTCGCTTTGATGTATACATGAAGAAAATTTTATGTTCCCTATATGTTTATAAACTGAATTTAAGGCTTCTAATTTGGATTTGTATATTAATGAATAGGTGAGACTAATTTAGTGAAAAATTTGATTTCAGGTTAGACAAATTCGTAAAAAAATGGTAGAAATAATAACTCGTGATATTACGGGCAGTGACTTGAAAGAAGTTGTTAATAAACTCCTTCCAGATTCCATTGCAAAGGATATTGAAAAAGCCTGTTTAGGAACATATCCTTTGCATGATGTTTACATCAGGAAGGTAATTACATATAGTTTTGTTGTCTTTTATTTTTTTTATTAAAACTTGTATTATTATCAGGTGAAGGTTTTGAAAAAACCTCGTTTTGAGTTGTCCAAGTTATTGGAATTGCATGGTGATGGTGGTAAAGGAAGTACACCTGGCGAATCAGGTGAAGCAGGCTCTAAAGTAGACAGGCCAGAAGGTTATGAACCGCCTGTGCAAGAGAGTGTTTAAGCTGTAAAGAGAAAAAAGAAGGAAAATAAAACCCTGTTTATAACTTTTTTTAAAAGTAACGTTTTGCCAAGGAAGAAGTGAGAAAATATAAAATAGTGACCGATCTGCTTTTAGAGGCAATGGTGGACATTGACCTACCCGCAATTGGTCCCAAACGTGTATGGTTCATGATTTGCAACTGTCTGTCGTGAACAGAAAGGCGACCTCCATCGGGCCTCGTTGCCAAATGCTTTCGGGAAAACTTCGCCAAAAAAATGAAACACAAACTGTTTCGTATTTTTGGTACCTGATTAATTCAATGTTTTTGGAAAGAAATTGATTTGTTATGGGNCATACTTTTGAACAAAATATCGGTAAGAAGTTTTTCTGCTGTAAATCTAAATGCTAAATGAATTTTACATTTCAGAGCTTTGAAATTATCTATGGCCTTGAAACTTCAACGGGTCTCTAGATACTTTTGTGTGTGCTTAAAATGTGTTGTCGCAATTAATGTTTATATTGGCTGATGTGGACTTTTTCAACAATTTCTTAAGGAAGGCAGTTTTCCACAAAATAGGTATATAGGAAAAGCAGTTATGTTTTTAAATTATAATATTTTATTCATATTATATTACTTGTTCATGATATATTGTTTTTAGGTTATGTTTACGTTGACACTTATGTTATCGTTAACAGATGATAGCCTGTAAAACAAATTATCTGGATAGTTTTGTTAATGAATTGTTAACCATTCCTTCCCTCCGTATGTTTGTTAAAGAAGACATACACAAATATCCAGCTTTTCTAATTTTAAAGCACTACCGTTGACCAGAAGACTTAAAAAATGGAAGAAACATTAATGTTAGTGTCCCTTGTGGTTGTTATGCTAATAGGATCTTATCTGGCTGGTTCTATACCTCTTTTTATGAGTCTTTCAGAGGTTAGTAGTAAGTTTATTAATGTAAATATTTACGTTATTTCTTAACAGTAATTCCAATTGGTGTAACAGATGTTTGAAAAAGTGAAAGGTGCATTCCATGGTTCCATAGTATAAAGGGCGTTTGTTTTATTTTAGGAGACATTGAAAAAGGTTACTGTATTTGGGTCAGGACTTTTAGTTGGAACAGCTTTGGCTGTAATTATTCCAGAAGGAGTTCGTTCTTTAACTACAAGTATACATGTGAAAGAAGGAGCGAATGAAACCCATACTGCCCAGAAAGTTAATGATCCTTTGTCTGTGATAGGAATTAGTCTTATTTTAGGCTTTGTTTTAATGTTGCTGATTGATCAGGTAAGATTTCATTTTATGGGTGACTTTTTGCTGTTATCTTATCAGAATTTTTATTGGCTACATATGTAGAAACAAAGTTAATCCTTTTATTTACTGAATTGAAGATAAGACATACATTTAGCATAATTATTTTATTTTATAGTTTACCTGTTCTCTTTTTCAGATATCTCAAAGGAGAAACGAGTCATTAAATCCTTCAGAACGAAATATTACTGCAACTATCGGTCTGGTGGTTCATGCAGCAGCTGATGGAGTTGCTCTAGGGGCTGCGGCTACCACAAGTCATACAGACGTCGAAATTATTGTATTTCTAGCGATTATGTTGCACAAGGCTCCTGCAGCCTTTGGTTTGGTCACATTCTTGTTACACGAAGGAATTGAAAGGTAATTAATTCATAAAAATAAAAAACGATACCAAGCTGATTCTAAAAAGCATGGTATTACTTATTTGGCTTTCATTTATTTTTGGTTTTTGTAAACTATTTTTGGAAAATTTATAAATGTTTTTTAGCCAACTCTTCTTGCAGTTTAAATAGAAAAAGATGCCCTTAGATCAGTTTTAAAAAACGATAAAGGCATTTCTTACCCTTTTTACTTTTTATTGGGAGTTATAGAGGGCAATAATGAAGATTTTTTTGTATTTCAGACAGAGAATAAGGAGACATTTGATAATTTTCTCGTTAGCAGCTCCTTTGTTGGCCCTTGTTACTTATTTCGGAATAGGGCAAGAACAGAAGGAAAGATTTAGCTCTGTTAATGGCACAGGTTGGTATATGCGCCCAAATGGGGCGAAAAGTTACTGTTTTTGTAAAAAGAGAGTCAATGAATAAGAAAAAATCTTAGTTGTGATATTGAGGGAAGAGTTTTTTCCTATTCATCTTTTCAGCGTCTTTTTTTTTTTAACTGTGAGCATTTTTTTTTTCCTCTAGGCATTGCCATGCTATTTTCTGCTGGCACATTTCTTTATGTGGCCACCGTTCACGTGTTAGCAGACTTGACCCAGAAGGGTCATCAGACACATCATTCTTCCTATTCTAGACTGCAAAATGTGGAGAACGGTGCAGCCCCCGTCGCCAAGGTTGTCACCCCTCAGTCTCTAGCACATTCCGAACTTATTATCCTAATAGTAGGTTGTCTTGTTCCCTTATTTCTTACCTTAGTCCATCATCATTAATCGATACATATTTCATGATATGTGATTTTGTCATCTCATTGAGGTGACATGATAAATGCGATTTTTGTATCTTTTATTTTCTGAAAAAAAGGCCATGAGGTTTTTGGTAAACCTTTGGGCCTAAATTAATAATTTTGGAATGTGTATCGTGCGTAATCTCTGTCGATAATATACAACAAGAAATCTACGACAAAAACTTTAGTCGTGAGATTTACAGGTAATTCTTAAGTGTGAAAGGTGCTTAAAAAGTATTCGCATCAATATAAGCCAATAGGGTAGGGCATTATTATTATATCTTAAAAGACCATATAATTTTTTTATTTCAATAGAAAATGTATATTATGTACAATTGTTTATTGTTTAAATTTTACGTACTTAATAATGGAATAAATGTTGTTTTTAAAGAAAATAAGTCTTTAAAACGATACATAATCCTTTTCAAGTAGATTATTAATAATCTTTTTGGTAATATTAATATTATTACATTATTATTCATTAATAATTTATTTTTTTCCTTTTCACTGTATTAAAATTGTACGCTGTTCTAATTTCAAATTTCCCGGAGTTGATAGAAGAGGACAGCCTATTCCTTGTTTAATAGGTTAGTTGAAGTAATTCCCGTTAATCAGCGCCAAAAAGTGTGTGAAGGAGTGATGCGACGTACGTCGTGGGAGTGTGTTGCTGTGAAACTGCTTTAGAAATCGAAACGTACGTGGAGATTGAAGCACGTTGCGCATTGAAAATCATTTTCTTCGAAGTGATGGTCGCGTGCAGTTGTCCGCCATTGTTATTTATACGGTGAGCTGACATATTACTCCGCCATATTGTGGAACCATATTTTATAAACAAATAAATCAGAAATGGCGGATCACCAAAACATAATGTGCGAAGTCGAAATTCAACCGGACATCCAAGAGTGCGTGGAAATAGAGACGATTCCTGTAGATATGCCCGAAACCGTGGAAACTATCGTCGAATGTGGTGAACCTATGATACCTATGCAATCGTTGGAAGGTCGGGACATTATCCTGGAGCCCCAGGAAGAGGTTATCGACGATTCCGGTGATCCTTTAAACCTATACGACGTACCTGTGCCAGACGCGAGTGAAATTTACGTAGAATCTTCCCCGGGACCGTCTATAAAACGTAAAAAGACTGCTAATCGTAACCGTGGTGTTTTAATCAAACAAGAAGCTATGCTTGGCGGTGATATGACTATAGAAACCAAACCTAGGAAATGGGAACAGAAGCAAGTGCAAATTAAAACCATGGAGGGTGAATTCTCGGTCACGATGTGGGCGTCTGGAGCCAGTGATGGTGAGTGGTTTTTCTTTCTTTTTCTACTGACGTGCAGTGGTAAATTAGGGCGTACATTTAATTAAGTCTAATATTAGCAGCCTTCTACACATTTTGTGGACCTGTTTCTTGATTTTGATATAATCGGAAATTTCCGTATCCTAGTCCTAGTTGTGTGAGCCTTCAAGGTCAAAGGAATTACAACCGCACCCTAAACCGTATACTTTTTGTCATTTTGCCTCATAGCTAATCGAATTTTGAAAAATTTAACACTTGGCAAGTCTTGTTTATGTACAAATCGGCCATTACTGAAATTTACTGCCATTTTATAAATGGCTGAACAAATTTCTATGGCGCAGTCATGGCCGACTTTCGCATAGTTAATTCGATACATTAATTAAAATTGACTGTTAAACAATTTCCTTTTTGCAAAAAGAAACGTAGAGGACGTTCATTATGTAAATCCTGTTTTGATTTCTTAAAGTATAATAAGTTCGATGAAAGTATACGGTAGCGCTGTGCCCTCGGTTTTCGACGTAACAATCGTTCGATGTAAAAGTCAGTCATTGGCATTTTTGCCGGTAGGTTCGCTAGTGTAGTTTTGAAATACAAGGTCTATGCGAAAAGTTTTGGAAAAAATTGTAATATTTAAAATAATCTTATTAATTTATTATTATAAAGCAGGGGATTAATTTCAACAAAAGCATGTTGTATAATTAAAAAGTAATTATAAAAATTGTTTATCTTGTTAAAACTTGTCTTCTTCAAGCCTTTATAAGTATCTTCTAAAATTAATATACACATTATTGTTTGAAAATGATGGATGTTTTCTTTTTATATTTTCTAGACGAGGGTTCGAATCCTGAGCCAGACCCTGATTATACCGAATATATGACTGGTAAAAAAATCCCTGCAGACGGAATTCCAGGCCTGGATCTGTCCGATCCGAAACAACTTGCAGAATTCGCACGTCCTGGATTGAAGAGTCCGCGGGTGCGACGTCCCAATCAGGACAATGTGGACAGGACTATCGCATGCCCGCACAAAGGATGCACCAAAATGTTCCGCGACAATTCGGCGATGAGAAAACACCTTCATACGCATGGCCCCCGCGTACATGTATGCGCTGAATGCGGAAAAGCCTTTGTAGAATCGAGCAAACTTAAAAGACACCAACTCGTACACACCGGGGAAAAACCGTTCCAGTGTACTTTCGAGGGATGTGGGAAGCGATTTAGTCTTGATTTTAATTTAAGGTAAGACAATGTTATAATATGCCCATATACATGCAAATAATGTAAAAACTACTGAACAGACTCTGAAATTGTACAGTTCAGAGTTGAAGTAGTTTATGGTCTTTTAATTCCATTGAAGCTAATAATTGTTTTTGTTTGATAGGACCCATGTACGTATTCACACGGGAGACCGACCTTACGTGTGCCCCTTTGATGGTTGCAACAAGAAGTTTGCACAGTCCACAAATTTGAAAAGCCATATTCTAACTCATGCCAAAGCGAAGTAAGTGGAAGTAAATTTACTTTGTGTGTTTGTTATATGTTTTCTTGTTGTTCGAACGATGTTTAATATTTTCTTCTGTGTTGTTTAGGTCTCGAAATGCGCTGGCTCGAGCAAATGCTAATACAATGCAGATGTTACAACCTCAGTTCGTACAAGTCGAGGTTGCAGACGTTGAGCAGCCTTACATTGTATACACTGATTAACAGGGTAAATATTTCTTTGTATAACGTAAATGTATCCAATACAAATATGTATTGCTTTTGAGATTAGTTGTAATAATAGTTTATTTACTGAAAAATCGTTCTATAAGTTTATTTGTTATTTAATGTGTAATGTTTTTGCGAAATTGATTTCTGTTTTTATTTGTTGCAGAGGAAGAGTTCGATTGAACCAGTGATAACGAAAACAAAGAGGACTTTCTTACAATTAAGGTAGTTTAGAACAACCTGAGCCATACCAAAAAAGTCGAAGACATCAGGAGAGTGTTAGAGCTAGTTATTTCAATAATTTGTAATAGTTGTATTTCTCAAAATTCTTCTCAGTTGTGTACTCTTTGTTTTAACCATTTTAATTTATATAAGTGGCGATAGAATTAATTAATTGTTAAGTAGTTTTGCGGAAAAAAGTTATTTATTGCAATCGAAGAATGTTTTGATTCCTTGCCTTATCCTTGGCGTCAAATTTATCAGGAATTCATTGTGTATAGAAAAGGAAACGTTTAAAAATTAATATTTTTGTAATATTAAATCGAAATTATATTTAAATAGTTTTGTTGTGTATGAAATACGAGATTGTCTGCGTGAAGACTTGCATTTTTTCTTCTTAGTACTTCAGTTAATGTGATGTAAATTGAGTAATTTTACGATAAGTAAAGTTTAGTCTTTATCATTTAATTGCAACCAATATTTGGTTAATTATTGTAAACTGACCTTAAGCACTTGTGTAC